GTGATGGGCAGGTGTCCTCAGCTAGGTAGCCCGACCGGAAGGGAGTCTAGAGTGGGGCCCTCACCTGCTGCCGAGGCGGGTTTGCTATCATCGCTAAGTCTGGCTTCCCATCTGTGAAGTCAGGCTCACGCCAACCCCACCATAAGGAAAAAGAGCTAATCAACCCTGTTCTCTGAGACGGCGATGCCTGAACAGTCAGAAAGCACGTGGGCACCTCGTGCCTTACGTACCGTGCGGACGTCATCTTCAAACACTTCTCTTGCCTCCTCATACTTGCAGATTTCCTCATAGCATTCCTTTTCCAAGTTTCCCTCAAAAAGTTCTTCCAGAAAGATAGAATTGCTGCGCCTCCATCTCACCAGAACTTTGTTTGCCTTCGAGGCTGGAAGAAACACTGCAGGGGGCAGGGCATGTGAGCGCGAGCTCTCCCCACACAGCGCCTCAGCCAGCGCACGCTTCCCCTGTTCAGCAGGGCCTAGTCTGTGCCTGGCCTAATTTTGTCATGCACAGCGTAGGCTATCCTTGGCCCAGTAGGTCCCTATCCCTTTCAGTAGCTGCTACCACACGGCAATGAGATCCGTACTGATTTTCAGGAGGTAGAGTGAGAACGTGGCCTGGCCTTCAGGGTCCCAGGGACAGTATCTCTCATCTGACCACTGGAGTTGTACCAAAGATGAGATGGCTAGGTCTGGTGGTTCACTCCTCTAGTCCTAGCACTTGGGAGACTGAGGCAGGAGGATTGCCAAGAGACGAAGATAGCCTGAACTGCATAGTGTGTTCCAGGCCAGCTCAGGCTATAGAATGAGAACCTGCCTCAAGAAAGCGTTTTTTTTTTTAAATGAATGAAACAGCAAACGCTTACCTGAAAGCTCTACCTGGTGCAGGACAAGGGTAAGGATGAAGATGAGAATGAAGCCCCGGAACAGAGAGATGCAGCCGCCCATGCTGACCCAGAGAGCGGCTGACCCAGGCAGGGCAAAGTCTGCAAACAGTCAAAGTCCAGGCCCCGGGAAGCATTGTGGTCAACATGTGCCTTAGAACACGTAGTCCAGGTGACCCGTGGACCTAGATATTGATGGCTTGTGAGGAGACGAGCTCTCATTATGCTCCCTTCCTGCACTTACGGTTAGCCAGGGAGGGAGGAAGATACCAGAGGAAAGTGGAGGGGCCTCTGCACAGGTGGGCTTCTTTCCCTCCAAGGGGCCATCCTGGTTCTGGACACAACCGTGAGCAGGAAGGAGACCAACATGGCGAATATGTAGTCCAACAAAGGAGGGGCACATAGAATTGGCAGGGAAGGGAATGGGACAGTGTCAAATTACAGGGCAGGCAGGTGAGCAGGGCAGGCGAGAGCACACAGCATGATTGTGATGTGTCTGGAGCCAGATGCACAAGGGCCCTGGAGTCGGGGGAGATGAAAAGTATTGTAACAAATGGGTTGTTATGTCAGAGACTCTGGTGTCTGCACCTTTTGTTGACCGAATGATGCAGAAACAAAAATCTAATGACACCTATAAACACAATTTATTAAAGTAGAAAGTGAAGGAAACAGAGTAGGCAGCAGCCATCTCTAATATGCACATTGTGGGCTTGCTTTTTGAAAGTTGGAAGAGAAATGCATTCAAGTGTATCTTCTTTGGTGAGTGATCCAAGATAAGCTACGAGCTGAAAATTCATTTTCTAGGATTTTCTAGTCGGTGAATTTCAGGCAGCCTGGGGGTCATCGTGTGCTGCCTCCTAGGAAAAGGCCAGAGAAATCTGTCCGAGGGGATACATCTCCATGTGGACACTGACAAACTGTTAAAACTAATCTTAAACCCAAGAATAGCTGCTTGAAAATAGGGTCCAGATCCTCCCCTCAGCCCTCAGGGAAGTCTGAGGAAGAAGAAGCTGAAAATCTGTAAGAGCCTGAGGGAGCACAAGACCACGGAGAAATCGCCTTCTAGACATTCCTGACTGACACACACAAAAACTCAGAGAAAGAGGCAGCAAGCACCCGGCCTCACAGGTCTAAGCTGAGGCCATTGCTGAGAGAGGAAGCAGCCACAGCCCCACCCATAACCCAGAAGCCATCTCCAATTGGCAGTCGCTCTCAAAAGAAAAATCACTTTTTCCCAATGGAGTCTCCCTTTGGATACAAATCACACTTACTCATGTTTCATGCCCAGCAGAGGGCCAACGCAAAATAGAACTCAGTGGTATTTTTGGAGGATTTTTTTTTTTAACCTTACAGATCTTTTGCGTATATGTTATGGTTTCAGATTCTGTGGTTTTATGAGGTTTCTGTGTGTACAAAAGTGTGTCTTCATCTATATGTTGCTTGTACTTTTTCTTTGATTCTTTAGATGTTTGTTTTACTTTATTGTAAAAGAGCTTATAGGCTGCAGTCTGTCTAGTCTAACAATGACTGTCTATCAGCGGAAAGTCCAAGAATCTGACAGTTGTTCCGTCCACAGGGCTGGGTGTCTCAGCTGCTGTCAGTATACACGGAATCAGGAAGAGGCAGGCTCTGATATCAGCGAAGGAACTGGCTTGCCAGCCGAGTTAGGACAAGCAACAAAGACAGCTTCCTTCTTCTATGTCCTGTATATAGACCAGCAGAAGGTGTGGCCAAATTTAGAAGTAGACCTTCCTTCCTTCAAAAGATCCAGATTAAAAGTGGGTCTTTCCACTTCAAATAATTCAATAAAAAAAGTCCCCACTTAGGTTTTAGTTAACCCCAGATGTGGTCGTTGACACCAAGAATGGCTGTCACAGGCCCTGAGCTTTCAGACTCTGCATCTCTGGCCTCAGCTATTTTGGAGTTGTGTGCTAATGTCACCTGGATGATACCATGTTTTGTTTTGTTTTGTTTTGTTTTTCTGAAGGAGACTGTCTTCTATTTTATCCCCTGTCACCCAGGACAACTTTGGATGAATTCTTTGGATGAAACTGAGGTCTAGGCAGGGGGAGCAAATTCCCAGAGGAAGTTGTTCTGCTCACTTAGAGCTGGGCCCGGGACGCTGAGCCTTGCTCCGATTCTGACTTCTTGGCTCACCTATTCTCTGGGCATGGGCACCTCCCCAGTGCTCAGTGGGGGGCTGGCATTTCTGTTCCAAGATCAGCTTCCACGATCCATCCAGGATGTACAAAACACCGAAGACATCTAGGTCTCATGTTCCTCAGCACTGGGAAGGGCGTGGCCAATGTGAAAGCCACCATCCGGGAGGGAAGTCTTTTTTCCTTTTGCCCTTTGTGAGGTCTTATTTCTGGATCAGGAAGTGTTGTTCAGGAGCAGAGCCAAGGGAAGAAGACTCTGCTCTTTTCTGCACTCCGTCTAGACACCACTCGGTCTGCTTTGGTGACCTGCACTCTCACTGTGCCAGCACCACAGGGAGCCTGGGTCCCCATCACCAGCACCACAGGGAGCCTGGGTCCCCATCACCAGCACCACAGGGAGCCTGGGTCCCCATCACCAGCACCACAGGGAGCCTGGGTCCTGATTGCCAGGCCACAAGGGGGCATGCCTCACTAAATCTAGCATTCACCTTCCTAGCCCCTGATACTCAGGATATGGGTGCTGAATTTCTGCTTGTTTTGAAATTATCGGTGATTCTCTTAAGGTTTATGGTGGTAAAAATACATCTAAGGTGAAAGTGTTCTTTCTAGTCTTTTAAAAATAACATTATTTTTATTTTGTGTGAATTGGTCTTTTGCCTGCATGTGTGTCTGTGTGAAGGTGTTGGATCCCCTGGAGCTGGAGTTACAGACAGTTGTGAGCTGCTGTGTGGGTGCTGGGAATTGAATCCAGGTCCTTGGGAAGATCAGACAATGTTTCTTAAGGTTTCTGGGAATTGAACTCAGGACCTTTGGAAGAGCAGCCAGTGCTCGTAACCTCTGAGCCCCAAAAGTTCACTTTTCAGTGTCTGCTCAGGTTCCCCACACTCACCCAGTTATTGTACTTGCTTTCTCTTGGTTCAGGGAACCTGTGTGGGTGCTGACCTTGTCCTGGGGTTGTTGGGGACGAGGGACTTCTTGTTCTTAAGGACAGCCACAAAGTACATTCACGGAGGCAGGTGAAACTGTGGTCTCCCCACTTGCTGACCTGCAGGTAGGGCCAGTGGACCACACTGTGGAGAAGGTGTTCTTCAGTGTCCACATCCTGACCCAGCTTGGAGAGGTCAGCTCTGCTCGCAGACCCCAGCCTCACTCTTAGATACTATACAGTTCTAGGAAACCAAGTGTTGTTTTTGTTGACTTTTCCCAACCTTGCAAAACCTGTTTACAAAGGACTCTGTCCAGCTCTTGATTTGGGGGTGGTTTTGAACTGGAACCTTTAAACTTTGCTTAGGAAAGTTATGCAAAGTGCAAGCTATAGGTACTTTCAGAAAAAAGTTACTCTATTTACTGACAGTAGGCTTTGTTTCCACAAGCATTTTAGCTTGAAGCTTAGAGGCAATGGCTGACTGGGGGCAGGGAGACTTGCCCCGAACCCTGTCCAGCCCCACTGTGCCACTCCACATCTGCTTTGGTGGCACGATAGTGTCTGGAGGAGTTCCAGAAGCTTCTGGGCTAGACCCACCTAGAGACTTAGACTTTGAGGTCTGGGAGAAGCCAGGACTTAGGCTTTGCAAAGACCCCTCTGGGGTCTCCTAACCAAAGCCAGAGCTAAGATCCACATGTTGGGGGGGTAGGTCACTGTTGGCGATTGGTGAGCTGAGACCAGGCTCAGGAAGAAGGGCCTGTGCACATTCAACACCTGGTTTACCTCAGGGAAACTCCATGCGCACTCATCAGGCAGCCCATCTTGGGAGAGGCTTGTGCATACTTATCACTCAGCCTCGTTCTGGAAGGTACCGTGCACCTTGCCACACAGCCCAGCCCAGGGAAAGCACATACGCACAGCACTCAGCTCAGCACAGAGTGCAGGCACACTCGCCAGACAGCACAGCTGAGGCAGACCTCCTGCACCACACCCAAAGACAGCCCTGCATAGGACTGGGCCTGGCGTGGATCTGGGTAAAAGGTCCCTTTATTTAGACAAAGATCTTAGCCTTTCTGCCCAGGATTCTTTACTCTTAGTAGGTGTCATGATACCAGCAATTCTATATTACTGAGTTCCTAGGGGAGAGTGAGGGTTCTCTGGCCAGGCAAAGGAAGCATAGGTGTCTGGGGCCTCACAACCTAAAGGGGCTTCTGGGCTGAAGTCTCTGTTTCACCATGTGTGTATGTGCGTGGGCACTCAAGTGCCTATGGCTGTGAACATTTATTCTCAAGGTAGTTAAGCACACTTGAGAGGGTCAGTTTGACCACTCAAAATCAGAGTCATATGCTGTGATTATAAGCAGAGATGGCTCCATCCAAGTGTGAGCAGAGCCCTAATCCCCTAGAGCCCTGACTTCCTAGAGCTCAGTCTGGCTCAGGAAGATGAACCTTTGCTCAGGTAGAGCCTGCTTCTTTGCCACGAAGTCAAGGGAAGACCAGACCAAAAGAGTCCATCCCTGCAGGCGGGTATCCCTGCTCTGGCTGCAACATTCAACACCACCAGATGCCACCCAGCAGGTTGAGAGAATGATTGCTTTAATGGGGAGGACTCGGGGACCTTGGGGTCTGAGCTGTGGGCAGTGCCTTGGCTTTCATGGACCTGTCAATCCACTTGAGGAAGGCTGTGACCTTCGTGTAGATCCCGTATTTCCCTTTCCTCGCACACCCTTCTCCCCAGCTGACAATGCCGGTCACAAAGTAGGTGTCTCTGAACCGGGTGACGTGGGGACCCCCGCTGTCCCCCTGGCAGGCATCCTCCAGCTTGGCATCATAGCCCGCACAGAACATGTTCTGTGTGATGGTGAAGCTGCTGGAGAGCTTGCAGGTGTTGCGGTCCACGTAAGGCACCTCCATCATCTTCAAGGCGTGTGACTGGCGGCCCTTCTCATGCGTGCGGCCAAACCCGCTCACGATGCCCGTCTTCTGCGTCATCAGCGTGGCCTCGGCCCAGTCTTTCTGAGGCAGGCAGGCAGGGGCCACATTCATGCGGAATGTGATGGGAGTCTTGAGCTTGAGCACCGCAATGTCAAAGTCATAGGTCTCCTTCACAAACCTGTTGTGCTTTATGACCACATCCACCTCATGAACCATCTCATTGCCTTCCTCTTTCTCCGTGTTCCGGTCCCCTGGAGCCAGAGAAGGAGAGAGCAGACGGCAGTTAGTTCCGAGGGCCAGGGGTTTGTATATCAGCTACCTTTTGTCCTATCATGAAGGAAATGGAGGCAAGTGCATCTACATGAGTTTGAGGCCAGCATTGTCGACATTGTAAGCCCAGGCCAACCATACTACATAACTAGATCCTGTCTCAACAAGAAAGGAAAGAAGGAAGGAAGAAAAGAAGGAAGGAGGGGGGAAATAAAGACAAAAGAAAAGAAAGAGACAAGGAATGTGCTGGCTTATGTCAACTTGAGACAGCTGGAGTCATCCGAGACCAGGGAACCTCAATTGAGAAAACGCCCCTATAAGATTGGAGTACAGGCAAGCCTGCAGGTATTATTTTAAATTAGTGATTGATGGGGGAAGGCCACGCCCATTTTGGGTGGTGCTATCTTTGGGCTGGTAGTCTTGGTATTAGAAAGTGGACTGAACAAGCTATGGGGAGCAGGCCAGTAAGCAGCACTCCTCCACAGCTGTTGCATCAGTTTCTGGCTCCAGCTTCCAGCCCTGTTTGAGTTCCTGTGCTGACTTCCACTGATGGTAAACTGTGAGGTTGAAATGTAAGCTGAATAAACCCTTCCCCCGCAAGGAGCGTATGCGTGTATTCCTAGCACTCAGAAGGACAAGACAGATGCTTTGTAAATTCAAGAATAATTCATTCTCTGTAGAGAAACCCATCTCAAAAAATAAACATAAACGTACTTAAAAGGTCCTCTGTCTTTCTTCTAGGGGTTCACCTTGTAATCATGTTTTTAATGTATCATCTTTAAAATGGTTTATTTTATTAAGTGTGTGAGTGTTTGCCTGCATGTATATGTATGCGCACTGTGTGCCTGCCTAGTGCCTGTGGACGCCAGAAGAGGGCATCAGATCCCCCCTGAACTGGCATTACAGACAGTTGGGAGCCACCGCTGAGATCTGGGAACGGAACCCAGGCCCTTTGCAAGAGTGGTAAGTACTGTTACCCGCTACGCCGTCTCCCCAGTTCCCTGATCACATTTTTGTGTGCCGGTCCTTCCCAGTGCCTCATGCTCTGGCAGATGCTCCCTGAGCATTTCCTGCAAGCTGGGTCTGTCAATCTGCTCAGGGCCAAGGGTCTCCTGTTCCAGACCCGAGCTACACATCCGTCCCCCTAGCCATGTACTGACCTGAAGGCACAGTGCTGCTGACTGAAAGGAGAATGCAGTAATTTCTCAATCACGACTGTAGTTAATTTACCGCTATGCCCATGGGAAGTCAAGGCTTTGGGTGCAGAGTTTGGGAAATGAGACACTGCAATAACCTCACCTATCTCTTTGTTAAATTTGGAGTGTAGAAATGACAGGCATTTTCAAACTGCACCTGAGGCTTGTACTGGATTTTCAGTGGACAGCGCATGCATCTTGTGGAAGCATATCGGAATGAATGACATGAATAGAGGGAGGCTGGGGAGGCTTTGAGGAATGGACTCTGAGAGAGGAGTGTCATGAAAGACACATCAGAGACACCGAAGAGGAAAGTCTCTACAGGGAATGGCCTGGCGGGGGAGGAGGGAGTATGTGACTACCCCCCCCTCCTTTTCTCCATCCCTCCTCTCTGTTTCCCAAGCCTCTCCCTATGGATGAGCTCTCCTCTGTATTTGGGTGGGTGTTGCCAACAGAACCCTGTGTTCTAGAGATCCCAGGGAGAGCCTGAGACGCTGGAGTGGCACTTACCTACCCTCACCTTGAATCGCTTGGCTTGGTGGAGACAGTGGGCTGCCGTGAGGATGTAGAGCTCATTCAAGATGGTGCCTCCACAGAACCCTTCGTTGTCTTCATTGATTAGCAGAGCCTGGGACCAGAACAGAATGTGTGCGACCCCACCTACAGTCTCCATGAGGGCCAGGCCAAACCAGCTAGGCCATTTGGGCTCTCTGAAGCATCTCAGAGCCTTTTCTACAAGTCTTCTGCCTGTTTTTCCGACCACACCTTTCTCCTTCCGTTGGGCTACCCCAACAGCCTGCCTTTTCTGCCTGTCTGCTGCCCAGAGAGTGCATGGAACCATTCTCTTAGTTCCTGATCCTGATAAGAGACCCCACAGCAAGGCTCTGCTCTACCCCCACTAGCCAGTCCTATGACTCCTCTGGCCCTGCACCTCTTGTGGCATTCATGCAAGGGGCCCAGCCCTTTCTGCCTGGCACTCTGTATTTCCTCCAGTGGACACTGTTTGACTAATGCCTGGAACACCCAGCTGTGTTTCCTCAGGATGGTTTTGCTCTCTGGGATGATTGCTCCGGCCATATGCGGCTGCTCTGAATGAGATATTCTGCTGTCAGCACGACTGAGCAGTGGTCCAAGGGAAGCAAGTGCTCATGGCCAGAAGAGGAACACTGGGCACTGGGCCTGCAGGGCTTGGACACCAAGTGTTGACCGGGTTGTCCTTCTCCAGGGAATCCCTATCCTCTAGTTGCAGCTAGCGTTGCACTCAGAGAGTCAGTGCCCAGGCTACATGGCACTTACCTTTGACCTCAGGACTAGGGAGGCAGAGGCAAGCAGGTCTCTTGTGAGTTCGAGAGCAGACTGGGTCTACATAGTGAGCTCCAGACCAACCAGGCCAACACAGTAAGACCCTATCTTAAAAAAACAAAAAAACAGGCCTTTCACAGTGTTAAATCCTGAAAGAATTCTTGATTGTTGTTCACAGCTAAAGAAGACAGTGAGTTTATCTCTTATTTTCTTTTAAAAAATGTATGTATGTATTGTTTTTTAGTTTTTTGAAACAGGGTTTCTCTGTGTAGTCCTGGCTGTCCTGGACTCACTTTGTAGACCAGGCTGGCCTCAAACTCACAGGGGTCCACCTGCCTCCGCCTCTGGAGTGCTGGAATTAAAGGTGTGCAGCATCACACCCCACTTATTTTAATTTTCTTAAATTATGTTTATATGTGTGGGAATGTACAGGTGAGTGGCTGTAGCTGTGGTGACCAAAGGTGCCAGATTTCCTGGAGTTGGAGTAGCAGAGATTGAGAACTGCTTGATGGAAGTGCCAAGAACTGAACTCTGGTCCTTACCGCTGAGCCATCCTCCTAGCCCGATTTATCTTTGATAATTATGTAAAGTCAAACCTTACTTGAGCGACAAGGGAGAGGAAGCCAGTCTAGGACCCAAGGAGGTCTTCCCTGAGGAGGAGCCAATAGGAGAGCAGGTTTCTCTTATCCGCGCCCCATCAGGACCCCTGGAGAGAGTTCTGCAGCCCCCCTGCCAATAAGAGATCTCCTAGCCTACACACAGCAGCCACTCCGGGCCCAGCACAGCGAGTTCTCAGAACGTGTCCGAATGGTGTCGCATTGTAGGCTGAAACTCCTGCCTCTGGTCAACAACACCTGTGCCCTGCAGGTTGAGGGTGTTTAGGTGATTTTGGGGGATTGCTGGTGGCTCTAGAGCAGTGGTTCTCAACCTTCCTAACGCTGCGCCCTTTGGTAGAGTTCCTCATATTGTGGTGGCCCCCAACCATAAAGTTATCTCGTTACTACTTTAGGATTGTAATTTTGCTACTGCTATGATCTTAAGGTACATATCTGATATGCGACTCCCAAAGGGCTTGTAACCAACAGGCTGAGAGTCACTGCTCTGGGATTTTTCTTCTAGGAGAGGCGTTTCGGTTTCGAATGTGGGAAAGCTCAGGTGCCAGTTATCCTTTAAGGTATTTTACCTGTCTGAGCATTTAGGTGTTTTCGTTTAAATTTTTTTTCAAACTAGAAATGAAATGATGATCACTAGGAAGGGCCTTTACAGTTCTGTGTTGCTGACCCTTGGAGGGCCGTCCCACCAGCCTGTGGCACGGGAGGCTTGCTCTGCTTGCAGCCAGTACTAGCTTAGGCCAGTTACCTGCCAGGGACACTCGCCGTCCTCACATTCTCTGCCTCCCACAATCCGAGTAAGGGCCCTTCCGTCCTTCTTGGGCTGTGTGTCGTTGAGGTTGAGTAGGTCATAAGGATTCTCAGTAGGGGATAGGATATCTAAGTCCAGTAGGTCTTCAGAGACAGCCTCAACGCTGCTGGTGTTCTGGGCCACAGCCCTCTTCCTGCGTCCTACAGTGACCTTTCCACAGGGGAAGGGTGCTGGAAGAAGAGGGGCAACAGAGGCCTCAGCAATGCAGATGCTCCACAGGCCCAGGGAGGCTCCCTGGAAGGCCATGGAGAGTGGCTGAGAGTCAAGAGAGAGATTAGTAAAATACAGCTCGTTGTGTATCTGTAAAAACATTTCTAGAGATTAACCAAGAGGGGGAGACAAGCCCAAGAGGCAGCACTATCCATAGTCTGGGGATCCAAATAAAATTAAGAGAAGGACAAACCTTGTTGGTATAAACAGCTTCTTTCTCCAGTGCTGGTGGCCATTGGGTGAGCTCATTTGCTCAGCTACTTTCCCTAACTGTGATGGATGGAAACCTCTGAGACCACATCTAAAGCAAACCCTTCATCCTTTACATTATGTCAGCTATTGTCACAGCACTGAAATTCTGGTACCCAGGGTGGGGTTGTTGCTATGGCTACTTGGTCATGTGGTTCAAAAGGCTTGGGGCTAGTTTGTGGGAATAAAGTGAAAGCATTTAAAGATGTGAGCTAGAGAAAGCTTAGAATTCTGCTGGCAAGGCTACATGGGTGGCTCCACTGAGAGCTTAGAAGACAAGAATGCTGATAGAATTGTGGCTGTGAAAGATTAGGGTCCTGAAGTTTTAGAAGGGAACAGGAACTCTTTGGCGAATTGGATTGGAGGCCTTTGACTATAAAGACCTTGTTCACATTTTTTCTAGGCCCCGAGACTGTGGGAGCCATATTTTAAAGATGATAGACAAATTAAATTGGTGGAAGAAATTTCTTGGCAGCTCAGCATTCAAGCTGAGGCATGGTTGTTGCTAGCTGCTTTAACTAAGTTTACGGTGAGAGCCAGAAACAAAGAGCAAAAGCCAAAAGACTTAAAAGCCTTTAGGTTTTACAAAGAAAGGAGTAAAAACCAATGGTAAGAAAGGGACCCTGCAGCCTGAGGCTGAGCATCGTGGCTATTCTGCACCACTGATGCTTTAAGGACACATGGTTGCAATGTGGCCTCTGCTTGTGTTCCCATGAGATGTGATTGTGAACGACTGGGGCCTCTTGCTGGAGACACAGTGCCTATTGCCCTCGTTTGTTACATCTGGGCTGAGCTATGTAGTCATAACCTTTTGAAGTATGCTAAGCAAGCTCTCTCCTAGTGAGCCACACCTCAGCCTTTTCTTATGTTTTCAGATATTAAACTTTATCTTGAATTGATTTGTAATTATCCCCAGAGTTAAAATAATTTGTACACATATCAAGAAATAGCTCCAGTTAAAATTTTCTGAACTACCTTAAGCTTAAGAAATGTCAGTAGAAAAAAAGAATCTCCTTGTCTTTTGGTTGTTGAGAGATTTCATGTTAAACAATTGAGTTCATTCTTGGAGGATGTATTTTGGTCCACTCTTTTCTGATTACTTCTGAGATAAATTGTCTTCAGTGAGCAGCGGATGTGACAGGAAGAGGAAGAAATGGCTCAGCATGTTGAGTCCCATCTCCTCTATGTGTGTGTTTGTTCAGGTTCTATATGAGCCCAAGACTGCACTTCTACCACACCTGGGAATGCTCTAGAGGAGTGAGGGACCATCTGTGAACTGACAGGCTGGCTTTTCAGAGTTGCTATTTCTAGCTCACCATGTCTATAGAGCCCTTCTCATAGATCTTAGAAGGGGTTCATTCCTCTGGCCCTTCATGTTCCTCAGCCCATCTGGCACTCACTGCTCTCCAAGAGCCTCCTTAGTAGTGATTCAGGCACTCAAAAGACTCGGCACATCCAGCTCTCATCAGGTAAACAAAACAAAACAAAATAAAAAACAATCAACATGGGGGCTGCAAAAGTGATACCAATGCTGGGTCTTCTTCCTGCCCTTCTTGACCCAGAAGAGTTCTGCCCTTGATTTGCCCTTGGGATATTGTGACAACTGTGGCTTCCAGATCCTCAGGCCAGAGGAACATGGGATTCCCTGCACAAAAGTCACTGCTGGAGCTGTGGGTAGGCCCAGCACAGTGATGCCTGGGACCACCTCCTTTCAGCTGCCTTTGCCAGGAATGAGGCAACAGTGCCAGCCACTTCAGTGAGGTGGCCTGAGGCTGAGCAACTTTTTGCCCTTAGATCTAACAGCTCTTCTTTCAAACCTAAAGCTTTCATGCTTGAACTGTAGGTCCCAACTCTCATCCTCCATCTCCTGGCACCTTTGGCCTTTGCAAGTCCCACCAGAACATGCCACATCAGTGCCCACAGCAGTGGCATGCTGTCTTCATGGCCTGACAACCCCTATCTCCATGGCCTGACGACCCCTACACAACAGTGGCATGTCATCTCCACGGCCTGATGACCCCTACCTGTGGAGATGCAGGACTTGCCATCATCAGCCAGGAGGTAACCACTGGCACAGGAGCACACCACAGAGTTCTGCTCCTCGTTGCAGAACTGGTCACAGTCTCCATTGTCTAGGCTGCAGAGTCTCCGAACAACTGCAAAGCAGAGGACAGATGAGCCCTTCTCACAGACACGTGATGAATTCAGACATGCCAGCTACATCTGCTAATCTCGGTCATGCCCGGGCAAGGGGGTATGCAAAGAACCTGAGTCTCAAGGAAGACACACATGAGTGGTTCCCATGATAACAAATGACATGTCAGCCCCATGTAAGCCTTTCTCCTTGTTGCTGCTTCCCCAGAGCGTGGGAGGGACATTTGACATATGCACAGGTTCGGGGAGGAATACCCGGCATCCCCACAGGGCTCTTCACTGAAAAGCTTTGTGAGGGTGGGAGGGCACGTGTCCTCTGTTGAGTACTGTGCACATCCTGCTTGCCCAGGGTGCTGCCCTTGGCATGGGGGAAGAGCTGCATCCTAGCTACAGCTCTTTTTTCCATCTCCCAGTAACAACGGGTATTTGAGCTCTGCCCTGGCCCCACTGTTGCACCAGGCACCCTGCTGTGGGTGCTGTGGTTTGGGATCAGGGTTCCTGTGAAACTCATCATGGGAGGTTTACAGCAGGAAGCCAGAAACCAGGTCCAGAGTGTACGGGGGTGGTGTGGGCTGTCATCTAAGTCCCACCATAAACTCCCTTGGTAACTCCTGACCAGCATTGTATCTCAAGGATGACTGAGTCCATAGACCTCCATCCGCAGCATCGAGGACCAGAGGCGCCCACTCGCTTTTAGCACAGGCTGGCCCTGCTCACGCTAATAACCATCTCTGGAGCAATTTGCCTTACAGCCCTCTTCTTGGACTTGGGTGAACAAAAAAAATTATGGAGTAAAAGGTACCTTACTGGAATTTTAGCTCCTAAGTTGTGCCCCTCAGTAGATCTGTTGGTCTATTTCGTGCAGATGTCTGAGGTTCTGTGGAATGGTTACACTTATAAGCAGGAGCTCTCTGGGAGAGTCCTGAGGGCATCCAGATAATCACTCTCTAAGGAGAGTCATTTAGCCCTGGACATGGTGAAACACATCTGTGATCCCAGCACGTGGGGAACTGAGGCAGGAGGATTGCTGGGAGTTCAAATCTGGAGTGGGCTATGCAGTAAGTTCTAAGCCAGCTCTGGACAGAGAGTGAGGGCCATCTCAAAAAAAATAAAATAAAATAAAAAAAAAAGCAATAGAATAAAGAAGCAAAAGAAACCCAGTTCTTTCTTGTTAGGGAAAATTAATCTGATAGTAACCTAAATTTTTATTTAGAAATGTAGTCATCGTTGTAAAAATAGCTTGGTGGGTACATCCCACGTCTAAAACGGGCAGTCTAGACCGTTCCTTGTTGATGTTTGTGGTGGCAAGTGTAAATGAAGGAGGTGACTCGGACCATTGCACCCAAGCGGGATGAAGAGCTGACCCAGTTATCGGGTAGGTGACATTCTGCCATGTCACCTGCCTCGTGGTGCCCTGCGACAGCTCTGGCCCCCAGGAAGCGTTGCCTCTCACATTGCCCCACCCCCAGCAGCTTGAGGACACCTCCAGTGAAAATTACTAATGGCTTAGGTTGGCCTGTCTGTTAGGTATTTCAGTGTCTCTGTTTTCCCTACTCTGGGCATGATCCAACTGTCCATCAAGCAGAGGGACTTACAGAATTCACAGTTTTTGCCTTCGAATCCCTCTGCACAGGTGCATGTGTACTCCCGAAGGCCATCGCGACACTGACCCTGATTCTGGCAAGGACTGCTTTCACACTGGTTGCCATCTGCACAGGGAGGATTTGGAAAGCAAGGTTGAAGGCATTTCACCATGGAAACCACTGACACTGGGTGGATCTTGCCCTTGCATCCACTTCGCAGATGGCCTGGGCTTGCCTCTCCTCCTTGAGAATCATTCATCATGCCTACATTTCTCTTAGGTCCCATTTTGGTGGCTACATGTGTGTGATACTCCTGTTCCTTGCATCATTGGCTGGGTCCCTGATCTCTGCTAGAATGTATTACAAGGTGTTTGCAGCCTCTCTGGAAAGGAGGAGGACTGGGGGACAATGTGACACTTGTTTCTGGACTGGGTGCTCATCAGGGAATGTGGGGATCCTCTTCCTGAGGTGCCTAGGTGTAGAATGAGGATCGGAAGTTGATCCAGCCCCAGCACAGACTCCACCTCTCTTTGTACAGGACTTGCTCAGAGGCAGGGCTGGTCGCTGTCTGGAAATAACTTCCAGGGAGTCATGCCCAGTGTCATCTGCTGTGCAGGGAACGGTCATCAGAGTGATCACCTTTTAGAGAGTCCAGTGTTCCGAGCTCCACCTTTTGCTCTAACTTGCTGTATTTATTAGAAGTATCACAGAGTTTGGTGCCGTCCACTGACGAGAAACTGGCTGAGCTGTGTCAGAGCCACCTGTGGTGGAAACACCTGCAGTCCCAGGTGCTCAAGAGGCTGTTATGAGGGGGCTTGAGCCTGGGAATTTGCAGCCACTCTGGGCAACAGAACAAGAGCCCATTTAAAAAGATGTGGACTTTAGTAAATAATAAAACCTGAATGAATATAAACTTATCATAAAATACTCACTTGAAGCATTTATGGAAACCCAGAAGGGAAAAGTGTAGGTAAATAAGGTTTGAACAGGAATGGAATTCATAATGTTTTCAAAAGCCAGTCTTTCTCTTGATTTAAGTATGTTAAGGAGTCTTTCTCATTTATGATTGAGGTAGAAAGCATCTCACCTTTGTATATGTACCAGAATTCATTCTAAAAGAAAAAAAATATTTTAAGACACATTAGAAAAGACAGACATTTCACACTAACGGTAATCATCGCCAGTAACCTTCCCCGAGGGACGTTCGAGAACTTCTCCGTCTGAAAGGGAGCCCTTCCAGGGTGCTTCATTCCTGAGGGGGCCTGTCTCCCATCTGCTTCAACGTGGCTCTTACTGAATGGTGGAAGAGCATTGCAAAGTAAACAACAAGAAAACAGGCTAGAAGAAACAGCTGCATTCATTCTACACCACTGGAGTGTGACGCTCAGCCCTAAAGAAAGAAAAAGATCACAGGCTGCCAGTCATGAGTGGAAAAAGCATAAACTGCTAATTGGCAAAAAACAGGTCAAGGCCTGCCTAACCCTAATGGAAGGTCAGAGTTCACACAGCTGGTCCTTACCTCCACTCCCCATTCAGATCTATCTGGGATGTTGGAATAAGATCTTAACTAGAAATGGAACTCTGTGGATGCAGATTAGGATGAAGACCCGGATTAGTTTATTCAGAATTCTCGTATGCTCTCAACCCATGGGAGTGTCCATTTCAAAGTAAGAATGGAAGATCTAGAGCCAGGAGGAGGAAGGTCATGGGAGAGTACAGTACAAGTCTCACAGGTTCAAAATCAATGTTAGTATTTATAAAGAATGGAATCTATCACCTGGTGAAGACATACCCTTGTCTCCTCCTTTAAGGGTTAATCTTATGTGGTAGTCAGCAACCTCACTAAGGACCACACTTAGGAAGATGGGCCCACCTTAAAATAATGTGTAGTCCCTACCCTCTTGCACAATCCCTAAGGCCTCCCTTAGGCGATGGAGCCTGGGTCTGCCCACCTTTCTAAGTCTTGACATAACAAAGGCATAACTATCTTTTTCTTCTTTTTCTTTTGTATGCTGACTGCAGTCTAACTATACTTTTAAACTCCCCAACTAATGTACTGGACTTCCTGGCTCTTTTAGGACTCCTCTGTCTGCAATGTGGCTGCCTGCAGCCAGGGGCTCTCCGCCATCACCTTGCCTCAAGGGGCATGGCTTCTGCTCCTTTTTATTCTTCTCCTCCCACAATCCAGACAATTTGCCTGTCCTCAGGCTGTCCTTTTAAACTCTAATATATTATTAATGGGACTAAGAACCCAAAAGAGGGATCCCAGTTTCCTAGGTATCATGTGATGGCTTTGCTGGGAACCCTGGGGTTCCCAGTAATGCTTCTTCCCTGGGTTTTAATTCTTTAACTGGCAGAGAGAACCAGCCTGTTCTGCAGCCCTAGATGACATTGTGTTAAAGGTTAAGGCTTTTATGTAGCATTAGGTCATGAAAGCTCTGCCACTGTGAGGTGACTGAAGACTGGAGCTTTCACACATTCCTCCTTGTGTTTTTCCTCTGTCCTCCATACTGAGGACTAGGCAACAAGGAACCTTCTGGAAGCAGACACAAGCTCTCACCAGACACCAACTGCTGCCACGTTGTCCTTGGACTTCCTACCTTCCTACCTTACAAACAGCAAAAACCTCATGCTGTCTGTAAATTACCTAGCCTAGGGCATTTTATTATAGCAGGATAAAGGGATTAAGATTAAGGGATTCCACTTACTGAAAAAAGGCAATTTCTTATCTACTAAATATTTTCATATTCACATATATCTACATATTCACATAGTTCCCACAACTATGAATTTTCTCAGTAGACATAAACCTTTGTTTTGATAGCAAAGAATTAAAGAAATCCTTTCTTTCTCCCTTCCTCCCTCTCATCTTTCCTTCTGTCCTTCCTTCCTTCCTCCCGTTCTTTCTTTTCTGAGACAGGCTGTCACTATCCCTGACTGGCGTGGGGCTTGTTATATGGACCATGCCCTTACATTCACAGTGCTCCACTTGCCTTTGCCTGCTGACTGCTGGGATTAGAGGCATGCACCACATTTGGGAATAAAAGGAATTCTTGACTCTTTTTCTCTTTTCTGGTGGCTGAATTGAGCTATGGTCGCCCAGCGGACAGCAATGTAAGAACTTTCTTGCACACCATGATCTGCTGAAGTCAGAAGATATCTGGTCACATGACCCGAGTGATGATTACTGTCCAGATTGACTTGCAGTGGTGTGCTAGGATGTTCATCTGCTACATTTTCCCTCCTCATCTTGTCTTTTGTGGCAAGAAGCATATTTCCTCACGTGACAAGTATCTTATAGAAACTCATGACACAGCTGATGCTCTTGCTCCAGCCAATTATAGGATGGACCACATAGAATTTTTCAACCTACAGACATGGCCTCGCCATGATTAATGACCTTGGCTTATTTTTCAAAAGGCTGTCTCAGCTCAGTTTAAGCACTGCTTGTTTCCTTCATGACTAACAGACCAAAGTTCTCTGTTAGAGCCTCCTTAGAGTGGTCCACTGACTGGAAGACTACTTTGTGGGTGTGGGAGGAATGTGGGGTGGGGAAATTACCCCCAGCACTCCTTCCCTGCCCAGCTGAGGAGCCTAGATGTGGTCAGAGGTGGAGGGCTGTAAAGGCTCACGTCACGCCGAGGTCATTGTTTGGGTTTCTTCAGCCCCTTTCCATCAGCTTCACTTCCAGGGCTTCCTCAAGCTTTCCTACCATGCCAGTTCTCCCCACAGGTGGGATTATCAGATTTCTGACAGGTATGTGACTGAGTTACCACACACAGATTATCTCCTTATCCCTGACAGGATCTTTTCTGTGATTTCAGTGGGATTAGAACAGACTGTGTGGTGGATTCAGGGTAGTGAGTCAAATGAGCCACCAGTCGAGGGAATGACATTCATATTCTTCAGTCTAGTCAACGTCACTGAATACTAGAGTCTTACAGTAAAGTTCTAGAACAATCCTCGTATCTGAGTTCACACTCAGTTTGCTGTGTCAGGCGAAGCAAGCTTGGCATGAGTGTCCTTAAAGAGTCGGGATGACTTAGTGTGTCTGATGAATGCCTTCCCCAGGGAATCATCTGTAATTAAGTCCCAATGGTTTCAATAATGTTATGCTTTAACATCTTTGAAGATAAAGCGAAGTGTAGTGCTCTGGGAGCCGTGAGGTGCCTGCGAAGCTTTGTAGAGGGTGTGCTAATCTTTCCCGTGTTTCTAGGATCCCAAACTCAGTGTGTCTCCTAAGGCTGTTATTTGATGTGCATAAATGAATCCTCTCATCATTCCCTGAGCTGGCTTTGCTTGTAACGTTACCTCTCTCATGGTTTGTCTCTGAACTGTCCTTCTGAGGCTCCCTACTGAAGAACGGTTGGTCTCTAGGTGGTGGTAAAATTTTGGGAGGCTCTGCAAACGTTAGGTGGGGCATATCTGGAGGAATTAGGTGACTGGGTAGGGGTGTCATTGGAATATTAGCTCCAGCTCCTGCCTCCCCCTTTGTTTCTCTTCTGTCATGGGAGAACATGTTTCCTCTGGCTGTTGCTCTTGTGTTCTGTGTAAGCTCATGAAATGAAGTGATCACAGACTGGAAGAACCAAAATGTAATGAAAGCCAAAATACTTTATGCCTTTAAAATGTTCCCTCAGGTATTTAGCCGTGGCCATCTGAAAGCAAATGATCTAATTCCAGTCCTCAGGGGTCACACTGGCCTAACCCCCCCCCCCCGAGTGATCTTTGTCAAATGGTCCTGGCTGCAGGTGGATCAAATTCCTAAATGATGCTGATGATGCGGCCACGAAAGTTGTGCAGGTCTTGCTCTGTGGCCTTCAGTGCTGGCAGCAGGCCTGTAGCTTCCACTTGGGCCCAACAACTGCCAGGAATAACCGCTTCTCCGTAAGTTCTTCCTTGGCTGCCTTTCTGGGGGAACTCCCTACTTTTTAGCTCATTCTTCTTACTTTGGGCTCAAATTTCCAGTGGGTACTCGAAGGGCCTCTCCTTCTGGGGAAAAGGAGCAGGCTTACTCCTGTGGCCGTACAACCAAGCATGGAGGTGCTGCTGGTCTCCTGTCATGTCTGCATGCTCTACATGCTCTTCTTAGTCACCAAGCCCTTTACCCACTAGGGTAAGGTGGTGGCAACTGGCGTGTTTGTCTTTGCAGTACTGATAGAGACCATGGGGAGATATATATATACACACACACACATATACACATATGTACACACACGTATATGTATACATACAAAGTATGTGTGTATATATGCACATATGTATATATGTATGTGGTATGTATATGTATATACACATATATGTGTGCATATATACATATACCCACCATAGGTTAACTTGGTCACACTTGCAAGTTCTCATTATCCTTCTGTGGTGTGTCATATCCCTTCCCTCAGATTTCCTACCCAGGAAGAGAGTTGGAGAGATGTGGAAGCAAGCAAAATGAGTGTCCTTCAGGCAACATCTCCAATAACATGACTGGACATTTCATCCCTTGGTTGTTTTCCCTGACTGCCCTTCACAGGCTTATGGGTAAAGGTCTGAATCTGGGAACCCTGCACCAGCTCAGGAGCTGGAATGGCCCAACCTCAGCTAATAAGGAACTGAGAGGACCCAGCTCCCAGCCGGCAAGGAAGATGGTACCCTCAAATGGACCTGGCCTGACTTACTGTCTTTGTAACATCCTCGAAGATTTCTTTCGCCTCTTCATAAACGCAAATTTCTTCTACACACTCTCTTTCGAGATTTCCTTTCTTAAACACCTCTTCCAAAAATGAGTTTGCCCTCCGAATCCTTGTCAGCACATTGTTGGCACGCTCCTGGTTAATAAACACTAGAAGACAGGGAAGGTGAAAGGCCCTCATCAGTTACAGGGTCTCTTATCATTCAGGGCCTCTCTACACGCCTGTGTGGAACACAGTATTCCATGTCTGGAATTCTCTTCCCCAGTATGGTGATTAATCTTACTATCAACCTAGGAGACCAAGACACAGCTCTGTAGCCATGAGGGTGTTTCCAGAGAGAGCTAACTGAGCGGGACAGATGCATGCTGGGCGTGTGCAGCAGCAGCAGCATTGGCTCAGAGAGAATAAAGAGGAGAAGGAGAAGGAGGAGGAGAAAGGAGAAGGTCCAGAAGACTAAGCGTTTTCCCTTCCCTCTGCTCCCTGGCTGCCATGGTGGGAGCTGCCACACCCAGCCATGCCCTTTCTGCCACGATGGACTAAGCCCTGAACTGTAGCTGGTCTTTGCTACTTGGGGTTTCTTCTTTCTCCTACCCTTTATCTCCTAGTTTCACCCTCCCCCCCACACTAGATAGGAGAGAAACAAGAGGAGAGGGGAGAGAGGAATTAGGAAAACCCCTAAATCTAATTTCTTTCCTTTTGTTTTTTCTTTGACTACAGCCACTAACCAAGTGTAATCAGCCTCCCTAAATGACAAACTCCACCTACTGGGAGTTCCCAGAGTTCCAAATGTCACACAATCGCAGAAACTATCTGCAGCTGACAAAACCATGCTTCGACTAGAGCACAAGCCATGCTCTAAATCATGGTCATGCTGCGGACAGCCCGAAGCTGCCCCAGATCCCCACACCTGGGATTAAAACGAAAACACACTCATAACATTTCTGAGTTTTAAAGGAAGCCAAAATCCCAGAATTGCCTACAGCGAGCAAAGAGAAATCCTTCCGCCCTTAAGTTGTCACTGCCAGCTGATGTAAAAGTGCCCAGCTGCACCCTCGGATCTCTCCATTGCATGACCCCTTGGAATGCCACCGTTCTGGCTACCTCCATTTCTCTTGGACTCCTTGCCTGTGTTGTTCTTGTCACAGAACACAGCTGCTGTCTGAGGGCAGGTATCTCCTGGCTTGCCACTGCCACCTCAGTGGGAATGTGGTTCTATAAATGTAGGGTCTGCCTGCCTGTGGCTGTTCTGCAAAGAGTGGGTGCTGTCTGCCTGTCGAGTGAATGAAAGTGACTGGCCTCCGGGTCCTGCCCTTTTGACTAAATCTTTGTCTCCATGAGTGGCTTTGCTGGAACTCTAGACAGCCACACAGACCTACTCTGCCAGCAGCCATCAGTTCTAATTTGAGTAAAATTAAGACTGACAGCGGCAAACTAAAACTTAGTAACATGAACCCTTGTCTGTGGAAACCAGCAAAGACTCCGCATGTCCTGACACACAGCCTCCTGCTGCTCACTGTTGGCTGTGTGTTTTGTTACTTGTGGCCTTTGATTTTTCCAGTGCCTGAATGTTGCTGTCCTCAAACATGGGGCTGTCTCTGTGGGGCTGACCCTTGGCGGCAACTTGCCGGCATCGACCCTTCGATTGAGTGTTAGCAGGTTTGCCAGCAACGTTTTTCCTCAGTAAGGGCTAAATGTCTGGAAGGAACCTTGTGTTGCTGAGGTTGCTTCTTGTACTGGTGCAGGGCTAGCTCCATGTGAGTGGAGCCTGCTCTGGGTTAACTGAAATAAGCTCCCACTTTTTTTTTTTTTTTTTTTAGCAGGCCTGGGATCTGCTTGTTGCCTGTTTGTACAGCCTTGCCTTGTACGGTTCCTGGCCCAATGGAGCTTCCTAATCTTGGGGACCCTAGCTCCTGTCTCTTCCATGCCTAGGGTAGCTTTATCTCTGTGTCACTTTCTCTGTTTATCTCTTCTTGTCTCTGACCTCCTCCCTCTCCTCATCACTCTCCCTCTCCCACTCTCTCTCTCTCTCTCTCTCTCTCTCTCTTTCTCAATGTTTTGTCTTCTTCTCCTTTCTCCAAGTCCTACATTCATATCTCCTTGTGCCCTGCATGTGTAGTTGCAGCTGGCCCTAACTGTACCTTTAGAAGCCAGCCTGTGGCTGGGCCAGTGAACAGCCCACTCACCCTCCTCCCCACCCCCGGACTACTCTGCAGTGTGAGGGGTTGTTGCACTTACCACCTTTTCCAGGTAGCAGGAGGCTGGCCAGGACAACATAGAGCAGGCTGAGTCGCAGCAGGCTCCCCATGGCGTGGTCAAGGACAGAAAGCTGCTGTGACAGGCATGGGGCAAGGTTCACTCAGCCTGAGCCCCAGGTGGCCATGGTCCTTAGGCTTATCTCAGCCTCCTGATTGGAGCCTGGGCCAGCAATGAGGTCAGGGGAGTGAGGACTGTGGTCACCAGCCCTAGCCTTTCCCCAGCAGGCTATCCCTATCCAAAACTTCCTGGCAGGGCCTGCTGTGTGCTGAGAGTAGCAATAGCATCTGATGGGCCTTTTCTGGTTCTCTTAACACTCATCCCAGCCCACAATAGAATTTAATACATCTGGTAAAAACATCACTTTCTCATCATTGTTTTCAGGAACAGAAGCTGAGACAGAGATGAAAAGTAAAGCCTAGGTACCAGGGCAGATGTGGGATTTGCACCCAAGCCCTGGGTCCCCTGGCTGGTCTGACTCTGGACACAAGCACAGGTGTGAGGCTTGTGTGTCTCTTGGACAATGACTATGTGTTCTAGTCATGGAATCTGGCTGGGCTATTGGGGGACAGGAGCCTTGAACTGTTGGTGTCTTGACACAAGTTCATGCCTCTGATATGTGACATCCAGGATAGTGCACATGGCCCCGGTGGCATACATCAGGGTTGGGGGTGTTCTGCCCAGCAGATCTGCCACTTCCAGTCCTCCTGCAGGCCTGGAGGGTGGAGAATGTGTGAAGGGAGGTTTGGTATTTGATGGTCAACACCACTTCTGCAGAGCATATGGTTCATGCCTTGGGTTGGCTCTGCAAAGGGGTGGCCATTTTTTCCCTCAGCCCTGAAAGAGGAGGCCAGGGAAGGGCAAACCATTTGAGGCCTATAAATGTGGAAACAGCTCCTCTCCCACACTGGGGCCATATGGCTCTGTTGTGAGTGTGTGTGCATATAACTGGGGCTTCAGGCCAGGTAGTGGGGCTTCCCCTGAGCCCTGATATCTTCCTTGTAATGTTACACTCACAACTTCTAAGCTCATGGTGTCAGCAGGAGGCACCACTGTGCCTGGAAAACAGTGCCAGAGTCCCTGGAAAACAGTAGTAGAGGCAGCAGCAGCAGCAGCAGCCACAACAACAAAAACAAAACTCCCTAAACTTGGCTTGTGAGGAGACAGTGCTCACCCTGAGCCCACTTCCTACACGTCGACATGACTGCTCATGTTGATCCCATCCTTATCAGAAGCGTCACCTGGTGGAGCTATTTTTGAGCCTGGGGAGCATGCACACTGTGCCTGCGTCAGAAATGGCGCTGCTTTTGCTCACTGTACTGACTGCAGCCTGTGCTGAGTACAGTGGTTGGCTTGGCAATGACTTATGGATGTGGCTATGTGTGCTTAGCTGGAGAGTACTCGAATGGGGTTTGGCTTACCACTATTGCCAGTGTCTATTGGTCCTCCTCCCAGGGGTCCAGCCCATGGATGAGGACAGGGGGTCCAAGCCAAGGGGGTGAGAGGTGCCACAGTCACTAAACAGACATGGGGAGGGCGAGCAGATGCAGACTCGTTTATTCTGGGAGAGAGAGCATGGTATATAGCTTTGGGTGGCCAATCAGGTTCCTCCACACCATCTCTGAGCCTACCGTTAGTTGTTGGTCTCGGGGTAGGCTCCCCAAGCACCCTTTGCCCGACTGCTTCCGCAATCACTTCAGCGGAAGTCACCGCAGGCTGTGAGCCACAATGGTCTCTTGCCGGGAATTCCCACAAGTGCCAAGAGGGCTGTGGCATGCTGTGTGTGCCTAACAAACACGCCTGGTGACGTCAGATGTTGAGGTTGGCCCTGACATCTCACCAGGAGGGAAGACACTGCCGTTCACCAGGCTGCACCAGACCATAACAGAACTTGGAGAAAGCGTGTGGTGCTCCGGTTGGCTGGTGTCAGGGTGCCTGACCTCTGCCCTGACTGGTGGTGCCTACACAGAGGTCACTACGCTGAGTCTGTGATGGTGTCAAGCGTGAGAGGCTCACAGCAGACCTGTGGTCTGGGACTAGGGCCAAACACGGAAGCTGGTGTGAGGGGGGTCCTCCCTTTGTTCCCTACCCTCTCCGTGGTTCTGCTCCCAGAAAGGAAGTGCTGATTTGAAAATAAGCACATCTCACATTTAGCATGTCTTCAGGGAGCTAGAGCCTCAGCAAGGCCCCTCAAGGGCCCTTGGTGCCTTCTCAGGGCAGCTCTGTGAGCTGGATGCCTGCATACTTGCTGACCATTGGGAAAATTGAGGCCATGCAAGCCCTTGCTCAAACCCTCTCGGCTTCTTCTCGGGTTGCTCTCTGTCCACCTTCCGTTTCTTTTTCCCAGGAAGAAGAGCCCTTCCAGTGCGCATCTGACTTGATATCAGAGGCTCCACATGGAATTAGGGTCAACCCAAGGGAACAGCAGGCATCTCCAAGGTGTGCTGAGAGCAGCCACTCGCTGTCACGGGAAGCAGTGAATGGCAGGGGCGCACACTTTTCTTCAGAAACACTCCCCCGGGGAACCTGGAAGCATGGCCCAACACACTCAGACGGTGTTTCTCATTTAATTGACATGAAGACGGCGTGCTCATACAAAAACGAAAGTGAACAATAGTGCAGGTGGTACAGGCGTCATGAGTGCACACACAGGCACGACACACACGTGTCCTACATGCATGTGTTGCGCACCTACTGTGTGGCACTGTAGGCGGAGCACACGGGAGGCAGCTGCAGGGAGACAGGCCCACGCTGCCCTTTGAGCTGCCTGCCTGCGGCTCTACTGCGCAGCCCCGTTGGGTGTCTTTGTTAGTCTCTCAGACTCTTCCCCCTCTGCTTCCCGTTTCCCCTCTCTCCATCCCTCTTATTTATCTCCCCCCTCCACTTTCTTCACTCTCTCTCTCTTTCTCCTTCCCCACCCCAAGAATAGCAGGAGAGCCAATAGGATTTGATACAAAACAGTTCCACACTGAAGCAGCTTCCTCCTCAGGAAGGGCTAGGCTGTCCGAGGAGCTAGAGTAGAGGGATTCGATGAACCCCAACCTGGAGCTTGGAGTCCATAAGCCTCGTCAGCCATTCTGTGTACTGGGAGACCCTGGTGTATACCCCGATGTGGCCCACAGCCGCACAGCCCTCCCCCCAGCTGACCACACCTGTCAGGTACCATGTGCCCTGATAGTGGGTGGCATGTGGGCCACCACTGTCCCCCTTGCAGGCGTCCTTGGTGCCATCCATGTAGCCAGCACAGAACATGTTCTCTGTGATCTGGGGCGTGTTAGGACTGTGCTTCGAAAGCTCCAGGCAGTCCTGGGTCATCAGCCGGGGCACTTCAATGGCCATGAGTTCCAGGGCTGTGGCACCACGGTCCAGCAGCTGGCCCCAGCCACTGACCCTTGAAAAGCGGATTCTGGAGAGCGTGTTCTCAGAGAAGGCCCTCTCAGGCAGACACAGGGGCACCACGTGGTCAGTGAAGGTCACAGGCCGGTGGAGGCGCAGCAGGGCAATGTCGTGGTTGATCCTGCCTCGGACGTACTTGTCAGGCATGATGATCTGTACCACCCGCCGTACTTGCTCGGTCCCGTCCTTCTCACTGAAGTCATGCTCACCTGAGGGGAAGTCATGCCATGCATAGTACACCTTCTACCATGTGCGGCCATGTCCTCACACAGGCTCATTGTTGTCTTGACCTTCTGGCCTAGAGTATGTGGACAGGCCTGTGGCCAGTTCAGCCTCTGGTATCTGGAGGATTTGTATCCTCCCCAGGGTCTGGGACAAAGCCTGTGCTGGGGTCCATTGGAGTTGTGGAGGGAAGGCTGTGAATGGGCTGAACCTGGGGCACTGGACCGTTGATACCCACTGAGTGGGACAAGATGGACTGAGAATCCCCAAATCTCCTCCTAGTCCCTGAGGGGAGGAAAGGCCCAGAGGACAAAGTGGGTCAACTCCAGTGTGGCCCTCTTGGAAATATCAACTGGCCAGAGATGAGGATGGGCTATTGAGCCTCAGCCCCTGAGCCACTGTTAGTGTGAAAATGCCCTCAGGTCAGAGGTCAGGGACAGGCCACACCTACCCATCACCACTGTTATGTTCCTGGAGCTCCAGATATTATCAAAGCAGTGGGCTGCGGTCACTATCCAACTGGCGTCCAGCAGGATGGCCCCACACAGCAACAACCCACTGGTTTTCAGCACAGCCTGGATGGGGCACACAGACACGGTGAGTCACACTATTTTCATGGTCTCTTTGCCCCTGAGAAAGCAGCTGGATTGGCAAGAACCCTGCCCACAATACAGGGCCTCTGGAGGGTCCGCCAGCAGGTTAGGGCATCCCTGGCTCTGCTGGCTCTGGTTGACAACAGGGGTGCTGGATGATGGGGTGAGTGTGCAGGTCATCAAGGGACTCATGAAACCCTGAGGTTAGGGGAACCAGAGCTGGAGAAGCGGGGTTTGCAGAGGACACAGACCCTACCTGCCATGGACACTCCCCTTTGGGGCACACATAGCCTCCCACAATCCGGCCTTGGGGGCTGCTGGAATTTCTCTTTTCCAGAAGAGGTATTCTCCCACACGGGTACTCAACTGTACGAAACACAAGTCAGGAAGAGGGGACTGCAGAGTGAAAGGTGCGGTGTGTGGAGATTCAGAAGCAGCTGGCCCCTGCCGCAGCTCCTGCTGGGGACGGCAGCAGGCCTCAGGGCAGGGAAAATCTTTCGTTTAGGACGGGCAGGGCGGGCTTACTGCAGCAGCTCTGAGTGGAGACAGATGTTGGGTTTGGGGACAATCGAGGCCCTGCTTTCTAGAGCTGGGGTCTGCTAGGTCTTTGCAGGGAATGTGTGCTACAAGGCAAGTGCTGGTCTGTGACGCGTGAGCTCACTCACACCTCTTCCAGCACTGCCAAGTCCCCATGTAGGAAAGGACATTTGGCTGTGGCCCGCTGACCTCCCAGTTTCATGAACAGGCTGGGCCGTCCTCTGCTGAGGAGGTGTCAGCCGTTGGGGACACAGCCTCAGTGGTGTCCCATTGTGCAGAGCACGCTTCTGGAGTATGAACTGCTCTTGCAGAGGGCAAGAGTCTGCTTCCCAGAACTCATATCGGGCAGCTCACAAGCACTTGTAACTTCAGCTCCAGGGGATCCGAGGCCCTCTGACCTCTGCAGGCACTGCACTCACATACAATACTCCCCCACCCACAGGCACATCATTAATAATAATAATAATAACAAATAAGTCATTTTATGTTATTAACCATATGTGCCTACGTGACTCCTAGGTATGTCCTAGAGACTCCAAATTGGGCATTATAGGAGATGCAGAGCCTCATTCTACTACTGGCCTGCTTCAGTGGACAGGGCACTTGAGACCATGCAGGACGCTAGCCCAAGCTTCCACACTAACAGCCGCAGGCTGGGTGTCCTTCAGGCAAATGCTTTCACCTCATAGTCAACACCTGTCAGATACTTGCTTAGCAGGAGGTCCACCTTGTTACACATGTTTGGGCTGATAACTTGCCACAGGCCAGGGAAAATGACTGGCTCTTCAGAGCATAAGACAGCACCAGCTTTTGGAGCCCATTACCTTTGGGTTTGCAGGACACCTCATCTGGCTGCAACTCATAGTCCTCATGACAGCTGCAGGTGCGCTTGGTCCCTAGAGAGTCGCTGCAGTACTGTTCACAGCCACCATTTTCATTTGCACAGATGAGCTGCTCATTCTTGTCTGGGGACAGGAGAAGACAACCAGAAAGGTCCCTGCAAAGGCTGGCAGGCCAGCCATGTTGACCGTTGTCCTTGTTCCCATGGAAGGTAGCATGTACCTGAGGACTGTTGAGGGTGAACTTGGTGTCACCTGCCCTGTGGACTGATCTGGAGGAAAGAAACCTACCCAGATCTGGGAGAAATCCCAACAGCAGGCAGCATCGTGGCATTTGGACGACACTAGGCTCGTGTGTGATGGCGCCCCCTTCCAAGAATCTAATGGGAAGCTGGGAAGGGGTCTGGAGGTGAGCAAACATTTCCCAAGGACAGGAAAGTTCTCAACAGAGTGGGAAACTGGCCCGTGCAAGGCTCAGAGGGGGAGGTTATTCTAGGGGCAACCTCCATGACCAGATGAGCCATGCAGGCCCTTGGTCCCAGCATAGGCCGTTGGCCCAGACAGAAAAGTGGGTGAGGTGGTTCAGTTCTGCATGAGCCCAGTCTCCAGTACAGAGGCCTGTCCAGTGCTCACCAAAACGTATAGCCTCTCAGGGTCAGTGACCATTAGTGGGCCTCTTCTCTCTCCACCCTCTACGTTCTCCGGCCTCATTCAGATGAGAACAGGAGGCAACTTGGGCAACAGGGTACCTGTTTTCTGAAGAGAAGACACCTTTGCCCTGCCTCAAGAGGTGGCCTAGAAGGGTCCTCCAACTGGAAGGCTGCTGCTTGTCTGGGGCCGTGGGCCATTCCAGATGGCTAGCCAGAGGTATGATGGATGGCGGCCCTTGGACCCCGGGAAGGGCTGGGGAAGGTCTTTCCATCTACATGACCCCACACCCCAGCTTGGGGCTACAGGGCCTTCCTAGGCTGATGATGCTCCATGGTGCTTTATGTGTCATTCTACAACAGGGATGTTTGTTCGGGTCCACAGAAGGGGGCCTGCTCCGGGCCCTCCTCCGCTTTGGTGTAACTGTAGCCGTTGCCAGTGAATTCTATGAGGCCCGCCAGCAAGCTGTGGTGGCCAGAGAGGTCTGTTAGTCTCCGAGCATAGCAGCAATTCGCTATTTCAAAGCTGAAGAAATATTTCACACCTTTAAAGCAGCGGGCAGAGGAGATGGAGGTTACCCAGCCGACTTGCCTGGTGGGAACAGAAGCAGGGCTCTTCCCCAGCAAGAGAAGAGACAAAGTTGGCCCTGAGTGTGAGCCCTGAACCTTAGACTCGGAAACCAATAACATTTTGTTTGAAAAGAGTTCTTAATGTCTCCTAGATCGATTCACCACAGGGCCCGAGGCTGGCCTAGGCACCCACCCCTTCCTTAGTGAGACCAGACACCCAACTCTCCACCCATCTGCAAACTGCAGCAGGGAGCCAGTGTCTTACTCTTCTCACAGTTCCGGCCCTCAAAGTCTAGGGGGCAGAAGCAGATGTAGGCCTGGAGATGGTCCTGGCAGGTGCCCCCATTCTGGCACGGATTCGAGTCACACTGGTTCCCATCTGTGGGCAAGCCGACATTAGTATGCTGTTAAATAAGGGCGGTTGGGGAGGGGCGCGGACGGCTCTCAGCTACTCACCCGTGTACACGGCCCAGAACTGCTTCTGAGGGGGGAGAAAAAAACACATGAGGCACACGCATGAGGAGCAGTCAGTGTCCATGAAGGGAGCTCGGGAGCTATGGGTACCACCTGGGCCCCTGTGAGGGGCTTGGGAGGACAGCTTTGCTCTGGAGATGTGGAGGGCTTAGGTGAGGCCGAGGTTCTTCTCTGCCCTTTCTAGAGACATGTAAAGTCACCGACAGCTGACTCTCTCAAGTGAGAGCACCCAAGTCCTGGCCCCGAGCCTGCTTTCTCCAGCTGGGGCCTGGAGCTCTAAGGGTGAGAGCTGTCAAGCTGTGGGGTCCTGGGCCGAATGAAAAGGAAGAAGTGAGCTGACATCAGCCTTCATCGCTTTCTGCTCCTCACCGTAACCTGCTGCCCCGTGTCCTGCTGTCACGCCCTCCTGCCTGCTATGAAGGACTTCCTCCCAAGTGAAGAGTCAAAATACACCTGCCTTCCCTTCAGCAACTTCTTGTCAGATATTTGCTCATGCCAACGAGGAAAGTGGCTTCTACAGGTTCCCCTGGTGAGTTGCTCTAAGTGTGAGGGCTCTTGTGAAACAGGTGTCCTGTGAGTGTGAGGACTCTTGTGAGAGAGGTCTCCTGTGAGTGTGAGAGGTGATATGGGGCAAAGCTGGTGAGAAAAAGCCTTTGGAGAATGAACACCAAGCCCCTCACAACCACCAGGACCTGTGGTTGGCTATTGTTTTTTTCAGAGATGATGACAAAATGAAACTGATGAACCTCAAAGCCCTACCCTATCCTGACACACCCTTCCTGGAGAAAATGTCCAAAGGCAGATGTCCAACCAGAAAGGAAAATGCTCAGTGATGTATAAATGTGAAGCCGCAGGGCCAGGCATAGCAGCACACACTCGGAATTCCAGCAATTGGGAGGCAGAGGTGGAAGATGGAGAGTGGGAGGTCAGCCTGGACTACACAGCAAGACCTTGTCTCAAACAAACCAAACCAACCAAACAAACAAACAGGTGAGACACACAGAGAGAAAAAGAGAGAGAGAGAGACTCAGAAGTGAAGACAAATCTGTGCAGTGCACATGCCAAGTGTGGCCAAGGAAGCCACAGCATTCCTGCCACATTTCCACTGAGGATTGCACATGTGTGTGGCCAGCCCTCCCAGGTAGGGTGATCATTCCCTTTCAGGTCAGCTTCACAGGCAGCCCTGGACCCTTAGGGAATAAGGGCATTGCCTTTGGCAAAATGGAAAACACAGCAAGCTTGCTTTAGGAATTGATTTCCTGTTGTAAGAGTTTACACATGGCATGGTTGAGGGCAGAAGCCTGCTTGTGTCAGGGTTCCCGCACTGAGGGTTCTGTGAGCACTGAGTGGCAGCTGGCAGCCAGGGTGAGGGGCACTCACGGTCCTCTCAGCGCTCTTGAAGATCTCTAGGGCCTCCTCAAAGGAGCACTGCTCCTCCTTGCACTCTCTCTCCAGGGAGCCAGGCCACAGCTCCTCCATGAACGCGTAGGCACGCCGTTGCCTGTGTAGGACACTGTGGGCTTCCTCCTGGGCTATGAACACTGAGAAACAGAAGGTCCCGGGCAATACCGAAGGCTTCCCTCAAGCTGCGCGGAAGCCGCCCACTTGATGGTCCCCAAGTTGTGGGAACACCCACCCCCAGCAGCAAAGGAAACCACACTGGGTCAGCTCATGAAAACCACCCACACTAGATCCCTCAGTGATGGAGATATCCGTATCCAGCTCCCTCAGTGATGAGAACAACCTACCCACATTACTCTTTCTCCACCCCAGGGTGGGAGCCAGGGAGTCCCTGACCGCCTCCAGGAATGGAAAGTGCATAGGTTGGTGCCTTCAATGGCTTACCCTCTTCTGTGGACTGAAGGTCACAGAGAATGACACAGCCCCAGACTGAGCTGAATTTGAAATTGGGTGTTTTTCTTTGACGGTTGGCGATATTACATGGCACAGACGGGTTCATTATGTAGACGAATGTGATAATATATTTATTCCCATATCCATGTGGTTTGGCCTTCTTCCTATCCCTCTTAGCGAGAAAATACTTGGAGGGCTTACAAAAGCTTCATGAAGTGTTGTTTTGGTAGCAATGGTCTGAGGCTGCCAAATGGTGGTCTCCTATGATGCCAATGATGTCAAGCCAAAAGGAGACAGGAAACCCTACACTGTGCGTCCCTTTCTTGGGCACACTGAAAGGTATGCACAAACATATACTTAAATCTTCATCTAGTCGCCCACCTCTGTCCCCTGTCCTGTGTCCCCGTAGTCAGCTCTGGAATCTCCAGCTGCATAGCCTGGGCTCCACAGCCAGAGCTTCCTCACCTGGGGCTCCTAGTCCTGTGATTTCCTACATTGGGGATGAGGATGTTTAAATCACCTGAAGTTAGCCAGGGGTAGAAACCAAGAATGAAGACAAGGCCCTGAAATTGCCCATAAGACAACTATGCTACATAAACTGTGTCCCAGGATGCCGGTGAAAGGAGTGGCCGTGGATGGGACAGTGTGGAACTGGGATGGGAAGAGAGAACGGGAAGAAAGGCTGTTAGGGAAGACTCAAAAGCAGCCAGCGTATCCAGAAGAGGCCTGAAGGAGACAGGTTTTTCCCTATGCAGAGGAGCATGCAAGGAAGGAGAACCCATCTGTGGGGGCTGCTTCCCACCAGCCCATGAAGTCAGGAGGGAGACAAGACAAGGAGTGTGCCTGGATGGCTGGCGAGCCCTGTACAGGGATCACACAACCTGGGAACCACAGCAGGGAGCTAGTTCAACTTTAATTCCAGAGAACAAAGGCTACGTACCCCTCGGGGAGTAGATGAGGGGCTCGAGGCTAGGTGTACATAATTGGTTGGAACCAGGCACTTGAAGGATGTTTGATTTGCATTAAACAGGATGCTCCTATCATAGGAACGGGAACACAGTACCTAATTATCATGTAGGCACTTGGAGGGGAGAGCTAGCAGGGAACTGTGTCAAAGGCCATATATCAAATGTGGTAAGGGGCATTTGTGTCTAAAGACACTCTTCATATGAAGTCAGGCAGCTCAGAATGGCTCTCTGGACTGGGAGGACTGCTACCTCAAACAGCAGGGTTCCTCCAACATACATGCCTTGCTGGGAGAAGCTTTGTCTAGAGGTTGCTGAAAAGGTGGCTCTGGTCGACAGGAGAATGTTGGCATGCCCCAAAGGAGGGTCCTGGAAGGACAAGATCATTTTGGGAAGGGACAGAGAGGGAAGAGGAAGGGGCACTATCGTTTTCTTTTAAGTTGGAGAGTCCTTCATAACTGGAGTTCTGGAGGATGAAGACACTGTCGAACTGGACCAATCAAGGACCTTCAACAGCAGAGAGAGACACACATATGCCACCAGCCATCGGGACACACACCTCTCAGCCGGTGGTCAGGGCTGAGGGGTGGGTCAGTCAGTGTCCTAGAGAGCCAAAGCAAACCTGACTCCACACTGCTGCAGAGAGCTTGGGAAAGCTGGGAGAGGACAACTGGGAAGCCACTGCTGTCCCATTGCCACTCCGTCCCACAGGACAACGACCCACTACAATTCCTGCTTGCTGTGGGCTTTGAAGGGGACAGTCCCGGCTAGAACACTGATGTCACTATGCATGGGAACATTCACAGCAGCCTCTCGTTCTGTGAGACTCTGCAACTTTTGATGCATGTCTTTATGCTTTCTTCCCTGAGGCTTCAGCACTGTGTGTGTGTGTGTGTGTGTGTGTGTGTGTGTGTGTGAGACTGTGAGCATAGAGCCAAGGCAATGAGCAAGCTGTGTAGCTCAGTGCCATATGGCTGTTCTGACATGCCTGCACCTTGCCCCAGAGCTCGGCACTGCTGGCCCCCAGGGTCCAACTCTACAGACAAGTTTCCACACGGGTCAGGCAAGCCCGTATTTCTAAGAAGTCTTTAGGAAACACCAGCCAAAGCTCCCACCCCCGTGAAGAGCTCTGGTGGCAGGCATCCAGACACTATTTGCTTTTGTCAGGGACATACGTCAGATGGAGCCGCCTGGGGGTAGGGGGTGCGGTGAGTGTCCCTGTTGCTGTCGCAGCCGCTGCCGCAAACAGCGTGGCTTCTCAACTCACCCACTCCACAGATGGACTTACATACCTACAGCCTCTAGGGGTCCCTGGAACTGGAGCAGAAGGCAGAGAAGCACCAGCCGGTGAGCCCGAGGAAGCATGATGAGAGTGTTGCTTTTGGCCGGGCACTGTCCAGATGCTGCCTGGAGGGCAAAGGGCAGGGAGGAGGGGCCAGGGGTGGAGAAAGCTAGACCAGTGGCTTGAAGCAGCTGAGTCTGGTTGGAGGCATCCGCTCATGCCTCCAGCAGCTGTACATCCAGGGAAAGAGGGAAGGCACGGCAGGCAAAGTGGGCTCAGACTGGAGGAGGGAATAGAGCTCACGCACAGGTAGACATCCACATATCCACACTGGTGACACCACAGAGGGCAGGATGCCCCTCTGGGGCCTGAGACCTGGAAGAGAGCTGGGCTGTGCAGCCCTCACTGGCTCTCAGGGGCTGTTCTGCCCCCTCCTCCCCACAATGTGGAAGCAGCCATAGCCCATGACTTGTTCCTCCATGTCCGATGGCCCAGGCCCCAGGTGCAGCTTTTGGACACTGGGTTGCCTGAGATCGACAAGATTTCTCAGGAGGTGAGACTTTGTGTGTAAAGACTGTATCCAGCCCAAGGCTGCTGGATTTCTGGTCCTGAAGCATCTTGGACCACACTGTGGATTTCAGTTGGACTCAATGGGAGCAAATATCGTTTTCTGGGACAGGTATGAGGCTGGCCTCATCTAGGGGCACTGGTGGTACCTGCCTTTCCCTAGTCACTGGCTGGTACCTTATGCCCCCTCAGTCTACCTCAGGGCACCTGTGACTCCTGGGCTCCTGTCAGACTCAGGCAGTGTTGCTCTTTCTGGGCTAGAGGTCAAAACTCACCCAGCAAAACCCAAGCCTCTGAGACATGAGGGGTGGCAGCAGCCGTTCACCCCAGCTCTTATTTGAGAGCGAAGGCTGGCTGGACACTTGGAGGACAGATGCTAAGCCTGGACTCTGACTGAAGTTCTTCAGCAGATAGTGACCCCACATACACACACACACCATGGCATGTACCTTGGTTGGCTCCTGGGTTTTGGGGCTCCTAGGCATTGGGGCTTCCACCTGGACCTGCAGGAGCCTTGTTTCCTTGGCCTTCCTTTCCCAACTGTCCCACGGTTACCGTTAGCACTGTGCCTAGTGCAGACACTGGTTTGGATGGGTAGGCATGGGGACTCACACTTGCATATAACTTTACCTTCATTGTTTGGGATAAAAGGTAGGGACCATCCCCCCTCAACCTAGATTTTCTTTACCTGAAACTTGCTCTATCCAGGCTGGCCTTGAACTCAGATCAGTGTGCCTCTGTCTCCTGGATTAAAGGGGTGTTTGTATTCCAGGCCGGATCACACAGACCTAGAAGGTTTTTGGGTGTGATCTCTTGTCACAGCAGCCATGTTCTGAACTATAATTTCTCTATACCCTACTTTCCCACAAGACTCTCTACACTTCACTCAATGTTTGGTCTCCACAACTGTTTTGCTCCCCTGCTGGGTGGAGCCTCTAAGCAGATGAGCTCAGTCCTGATGTGACTGAGGTGCATGGGTGGGTGGGGCTCCCCTTTTCTGAGGAATAGAGGAAGGATGAGGGAAGTCAGAGGGTGGGACAAAGAGGAGAGGGGGGAGGGGACTATGAGTAGGATGTAAAGTGAATAAATTAATTAATTTAAAAAAAAGAGCGAGAGAGCTGACCTGAGTCTGTATATCGCTTTAATTTTCTCTGGATCTGTGTCTTACTTTATGGGTTAGTCTTGAGGACTCTATTGCTAACAATGGGTGACTGCATCTGGATTTTCTAGTTATGACCAGTTACTTTCAATCCTCAGAACTCATTTTATTTTTCTTTATGCTATTCCCTAGTATTTCCTAGTATTTCTAGTATTCCCTAGTAACAATCTTCATAGTGGAAGAGCCCATGTTCATCCTCTGTGCTGGGAAGGTTTTGCTCATTCTTCTCTTCGACTCCTACTTGGATGAGGATATTTGAGGCAAATAGATACTTAAAGTGTTTGCTTTGAAGATTGTTACCATGCCTTATCAGGTTAAAAACTGTTTTTTAAGGTGTGGTGCGATGACCATGACAAATAAAAGATCAATAAAAATTTTGTGCATGAAGTTGCTGACTTATGTGATTCAGTTTAACATGGTAAATTATAGCAGTATTTTTCTGACATTACATCATACTTGCTTTACATGATCAAATTTATATGTTGGACTGTGTGGGGTCATAAGCCATTGTTTTCAGCTACTCACCATAACTAGCTGACTGCTGAAGATTAGAAATACTTTATCTGCAGCATAGAGAAATCAAACTGGAACTGAACCGGAAACTTCCTCCCTGATGGCTAGTTTTCATAGTTCTGAGAGTACCCACTGGGGGAAATAATCGTCAGATGTCCGACTCATCAGCGAACCCTGTATGCTTGAACAGTGGCCTGCCAGGTAAATGAACTCATGAGTGAAATAGTGGCATGACTGTTATGGAGGTAACCAGCTCTTCTTTTGATTTGGATTTGAGGCCAGATCCATGAAAGTAATTGATGCCAGGTACTGTAAACCTGGCCAAGAACCAAAAGAAACAAAACAAAACAAAACCTCATGGCTCGGGAGGTTATTGGCCGTAAAGGATACTGGCGTTTTGTTAAACAGATATACTGTATTGCTGTCTCCTAAATAGTATCTTGATTTTTCTATAAATTACAACCAGCCTTTCTGGTTTTCAATAATTAAGGTTTTGATTTCCAAGGTAGTAATTTCTCCTTTATATTTGAGTTTTATTGAGTATATTCATTATATTCCTCAAATGAATAAATTAATAATTTTGTCATGTTAGATTAAGCGCAGTACAATCTCAGACATATTTCAGCTGCAGCCCCCCCGGATGCCGATGCTTCGCTATCTGTTCATCTCTTTAAAGCCGTCTCAATGACATTAGAATAACGGCTATAGACTTCCAAGTACCATTTACAAACCATCTATTTCATTGCTTTGTATATGTTCTATGTGTGCTGAAAATGGTACCATATCCTATTTTATAGAGAGGTTTCAATGTCTCTGACAGTAATACTGATGCTCTCTGCATTTTTAGCATTACTACTGGCTTAAAGGTTTGGATCGCCACATAGTTCTTCATGCTCTAACTGCCTTAAATTCTATTTTTGTTATTACCATGACTGTGAGATTTCTTTTGCTTTAACTTGGGCTAATCTTTTTGCTTTCTTTTATCTTCAGTCATGGCTTCATCAGGGTCTCCTTTAGCAGTTATTTACCTGGTCTGTTTGGTGCTGCCTGACACATCAATTAGGACATTAGCTGCTCTGTGAGTCAGACATGTCTGGAACCATCGCTTTGCTGTATTTCTGTGTTTTGTTCACTGTTCCTTCCCCATTTCTCCACCACTCCTTTCTCACAGACCAATAAACTTGCTTCATTGTCTGCCTTTCCAGGAGGACTGTCAAGTGTTGTTATTGTTCTGTAATGTCTACTGCATGTCTCCAGGCCCCTTCACATTTTCCACAAATAGATGCTGAGACTACATTCACACCATCGCTGTCTGGAAAAGTGAAACATATGAGATGCATGGTACTGCACTTCCTCTGCATCCTGTCACTTCCTGCCTCATTTCTTACACTAGCCACACTGGGCAATCGCTACGTCTACTGTGCTGAGAGCCTGGTACCCTTACCAAAAGGGTAAATTGCAGGAGTCACTGGCCTTTATCCAAACTTCATCCACAGAATAAAGACTTCTGAATTTAAATTTTCACTTATATCAGCAGGAGAAAATTAAAGCAACAGTGAAGAGAGACAGACATTTGTTTGTTTTTTTGAGATGGGGTCTTACTGTGTAGTTCTGACTGTCCAGAAACCTCCTATATAGACCAGGCTTGCCTCAAATTCACAGAGATCCATCTGCCTTTGCCTCCCTGAGTTCAGGATCAAAGGTGTGTGCCACCATGCCTGGAAAAATATGACATTTTAAAGTGTCTTTATGAGGGTAAGATCATGAAAGAGGGTGGCCCTTTTAAAGCAGGCTGGGCAGATGTGTTCCATGCTTCTTCACACATAACGTAGACACCAGAAGCGCTGTAGAGTCTTTGCACGTTTTTTATTTTATTACCATTCTCTGAAGGTGTGGCCAGTGATGGCTCTGCAAGCCACAGGGCGGGGGAGGAGGGCATTTTACCTGGACATAGAGTGGTGAACGAGCCTCGGTGGCCTCCCATGGCAGCAGGGTGAGGAGACAGGGAGGGACCGTAAAGTGACATATGTTCAGCAGCGTGAGACCATAAATACATCCTTTACACCAACATCATATGTACACACGTGAACATATATACACACATATAAAAATATCTGCCCTACTAGGCACAGAAAGTTTCCAAAGAACAGAATTTGTTTCTGAAACACACATAAAAAGGGGGGAAACCAACAATTTTCATGGCAGTTCTGCCGTGACTTGAATGAAGGCTGCAGGGGCCCCATGAGCTCAGCTGCAGCCCCTCCTGCGGCAGGGCAGAAGGCCGGTGGGGGAGGTGAGGGGAGGTGGGGCCTGCCCTGATGCGGAGAGGCAGCCAGTGCCTGTGTTGCTGAGGATGGCGACAGCATGGAGTTTTGCATTTTCTTTAAAAATAATAAAAAATATCCTAATTTAATGATGTTCTTTTAAAAAAACAGAGAGTCTCCTTTTTATTGTAGAAAAGAATGCTAATATTTTAAGTTATACTTTACATTTCTTGTGAAAATGAAACCTAGGCAGATGCAAGACTCTCAGTGATTCCAACTGCTTTTGGTGGAGGAGACGCTCCCTGACTCAGCAGGCTCTCCTTCCCTATGACTGACGTGTTCCAGGGAGTGCCAGGTCTCAGTGAGAGTGCCCCAGAAACCAGTTAGTCCTATAAACAGCGTGCTTTGATGTAAACCCCAGTAACAAAAAATAGTTTTATATCAAATACAGTATCAAATTGTTATTTCATGTAAACACAGTGATTCCTGGTAAAGATTTGAGGCCAGAGTACCACAAAAAAATGGCCATGGGATTAATCCCTGTTTAAAAAAAAAAATCAAAAACTTATAAAAGACAAGAG